GCAATTGTGTCAGGACATTGCTATTTTTGGTGGGGTTAGAATGACAGAGGAGGAAATAGGATCCACTGGGTTGCGTGGGATAGACTAGTGAGGGATAAGGATAAGGGAGGGTTGGGGTTTAAGGATCTTACAGCTTTTAATGATGATCTGTTGGTTAAACAGTTGTGGAGATTTATTACTCAACCTAATTTGTTGGTTAGTCAACTTATTAAGGGGAAATATTTGGCAGACTAGCATTTTTGAGGTGAAATCTAAGCATCAGGATTCTTGAATATGGAAAAGCCTTCTTAGTGTTAGGAAGATTTTGGAGCTGGGGGTCAGGTTTAGAGTGGGGGATGGGGCTAATATTCCTATTTGGGATTCTCCATAAATTCCTACTAAACCTCCTTTTAAGCCTGATTGTCAGTCTCCTGATGACAGGCATAGATTAGCTAGGGTGAAGGATTTGATGAGAGGGGGTAGTAGAGAGTGGGACAGGGAGCTGCTTTTTCAATCTTTTGATCCTGTGATTGCAGGGATCATCTCTAAAATTCCATTGTCTATGGTTAGTGGCCCTGATAGACTAATTTGGCACTGGCATCCAAAAGGAGAATTTTCAGTCAAAGAAGTATATAAGGCAATTATGAGATGGAAAAGCAATGAGCAAGAGAGGGCTAGCTCAAGCAGAGATCCAGTGCTTATGGCCAGGATGTGGAAGATAACTTGGTAGTTGAACATCAAGACTAAGATCAAAAGTTTTTTTTGGAGGTGTTGGTTTGGCTATCTGAGTTCAAATGATCAACTTGTAAGGAAAGGTATGTTTATTGATTCAATTTGTGCTATTTGTAGAGAGTATGGTGAGGACTTAAATCGTATATTATTTAACTGCCGAAGAGCAAAGAATTGTTGGAAGTTGAGTGGTGTTAACTGGAGTGTTCAGCCTGAAGGAGGTGGGGTGTTTCAAAGTTGGTGGTTCCACATCTGTGGTGACAAAAATTTGAAATCTAAAGAGGATAGATTGGGAATGTCAGCTTGCTTGCTTTGGAACATCTGGAAGGCCAGGAACAAATGGTTGTATAAGGGGGACTGGATACATGATAAATTAATTGTGGATGGTGCTCAAGCTGAGTGGTTGGAGTAGACAACTTCAAAATCTAACAGGCCTAAAAGCAATGAAGAATACTCACAAGAACAAACTTCTCAAGATAATTTTTCCAGGGAGGTAGGTCAGTCATTCATGACTCTCAGTGCCTCAATGTCTTTGGGTGGTGAAGTTCATGTGGAGTGTGCCATGAATCAGATGGGAGCTGTGCAATTTCAATGGCAAGATACTTTACAAGGAGCTCAGCAGGAGGAGGAAGGGTGGTTAATGGCCATCACGTGGTGTTTGATCAAAGCCAAGGACACCAACTGCAACAACTTTACACTCTTTCTTCATTCTACTGACCTTGTGGAGGATATTTCCAAGAGCCTGAGCAAGGAGGAGCTTCACTCTCAAGTAGCAGTCATTAAAAACTTGATGTCTCTTTGTAATGTTAATGTTAGTACTATTTTCTAGGTTTTGTTCTTTGTTTTTCAGACTTCTTGGCTTGGTTGCCAGCTTAGGGGTAAGGGATTTCTTATCTCGTGCCTCTTGTTACTACCTTGTGTAGTGCTTGTATGGCTAGTGATCATTTAGTCACCGTGAACCTTGATTTGAGTTTTAATGAATTGGTTTGGTTGCCGTTTGGGAAAAAAAAAAAATCTACCCCCTTTATCCCGCAATAGCCCTACATCCTGGTTTGTCGATTTAAGGCGCCGTCGGAATTCAGCTTAATGAAGCCAGCCCGTGGATGCTTAGTCCATGAAAGCCACATATACTTTCTGCATGCACTTGCTGCACATATTTTCTTGGCAAACAGGGTCGCCGAATTAATTCCATCAACTTGTCGATCAATTGTCGTCACTCTCACCAGAATATTAAACTCAATATTATCAAAGATGAAGGAGTTTCTATCTCTCCATAAGTTCCACAGTGTGACGCCAAACACACAGCTCTAGCTTTCCACTTGGATATTTAATTGGTTTTGTATGTTTAGACGCACTCATTCTCTTAAATCTAAACTTAAAAAAGAGACCTGGTATTGAGTCGGGAGGAGTCAGAGCCATGTTTGCTCAGCATGGCTACAATCCCGTAGGCAGTGCTAGATCGTTTCTTGGGCAGCACCGCACAACACATATGCAGCACTCTCCGCCAGATGCTTTCGATATCGTTCTTCATTGGTGAACAAAGGGCCTTTAACAATCAACCACATAATTCTTTGTTCTTCATTGGTGAACAAAGGCCCTTTAACAATCAACCACATAATTCTTTGTGGCCCCGTCCAACTCAAAATATCTTTCCATATGCGCCCCCTGTCCCCGCAATTCACGCCAGTCAACACTAAGTAAGCATATTTGATGGTGAAGCGACCATCACAAGACCACCCCCAATACATTAGATCGTCAACTAGCCCCAGGGTTGGTGGTAAGGTGACTGCAATAAGTAGCAAAACCGTCGCGGGCAGCAGTATACTATTAAAAAATAATAAAGCAATATTATAACGTAATTTATAAAAATGGGGAAGGCTACAATTCCGTTACGGAATCATTATGTTGAGATTTTTAACCGTTAGATGCACAAGCTACACTAATCTACATGTGCATCTAACGATTACGAATCACAACGGAATAGTTCTGTAACGGGACTGTAGGAATTTCCAATAAATATATGTTAAATGTTAATAAGTTGTTTTTATAGTCAACAATTTCTCATATAAAATATATTAAATTAATCATCTTTAATAATTTTTTATTTGATATTAATATTGCACGTATAAAATAAAAATTAATTATACCTACCTTTAAATACATATTAGTTCTAATTGAAAAGAAGATAATGTTCATCAATCCAATGAATTTATCTATCAAAACTATTATATAATACAAGTTAGATAAATATAGGGCGAGCACTGTTATGATGTGGATGTTGTGATAAAGGATATATTCAAATTTAAAGTAAACACTTTTATTTTTTTCAAAATTAAATATGAATATTTTATTTCATAATCTTGTAATATACTAGTGTTGTATTTCTTATCTTTTATTATTTTTATCTATTAATAAATAAAAAGACGAATTCCCCTATATATAATTTCCAAATGCGCTGAGCATAAGTGGCTACTTCTGGTGCTTCGGAATCCTACTTGATGAAGAATCATACTTCATAATTAGGTTTGGACAAATAATATTGATATATTAATAATTAATAATCTAGGTTCGTACATTACATAAATATTATTTAGCTAACTTAGGTATTTTAATATCACTTGCACTAATATAACTCTTTAATTCTTTGTAATTTTACATAGTGAGACACTAAGTGACTAATATATCCCTTACATTTGATTTGCTTCCTTCAATTAGCTATTGAATTGTAAATGTATTTTAAAAGTTGATAATTTCTTATCGGTTTTACATATATAATATATCAAATTAATCATCTTTTGATGATTTTCGATTTGGCATCTATATTGGATATATGAAATAAATAAATTATATTTATTTTTATAATAATAAAAAATAATAATATTTATTAAAAATTCATTAGAAAAAATAAAATTATTTATCAATTGATATATTTATGTTTAATGTAGTTATATGTTGTAGGTTAAAAAATTATTATAATATAACACATGTATGTCGCACAAATAAAAAGTATCATACTAAATATAATATATATATATATATTTTAATAAAAGGTATTTAGATTTTCAACTACCTTTTCTCATTAATTTTAGATTAGAAAAAAATTAGCAAACACCGCGTTGCACTAGTTGTACAAAGTAAGAGTTTTCCAATATCTACTGGGTGAACCATAAATCATCGTGAAATTGGCCCGGAAACAAATTTCATTTTTTTTTTTTTTTTTTGGACAAATAAATACCAAACTAAAAATTACGAAATGTTAGTATAAACTAAAAATAATTAGTGGTAGACATGAGCATTATGTTCCTTAATATAAACTAGGAAAAAAATGATGTGTGCACCTAACGATCGATATATTCACTATTATAATTTACAGGTCTAATGAGTTGTACATGAGATTAAGGTACATTAATATAATACAAACTAGGAAAAAATACAGTTTTGTACCATATAACTTTTGTTATTCTATTTTTTACAATACTTTTTAGAATTGGAATTTGGTACAACTTTTCATTTTTGACCAATTTCATCCAATAATTTTTTGGTGTTTTAATTTTACACAATAATTTCATTAAGTCGACATTTCCAGAAATATATTAAATCGAAACTTACTAAAACAATCGATTTATGAGGCTCAAGTTCGTTTCGATAAAAAAGTACGATCGCTCGAGCTCGACAGCTCGAGTCGAGATCGACTCGAAATCAAAATGCTCGAGCTCGACTCGAAAATTTTTAAGTGAAAAAGTATAATTATCATTAAGCACATACGCTATACGATTGTAATATATATAAGGGATATTTTATTAATTCAACATATATCTTGAGTTACTCAACAATGAAAATATAGACTCGACCTCGATCCAAATTCGTGCTCGAGCCGCTCGAGCTCAACTCGAGCGCTCAATGGTGGCCGAATAAGCCCGATAGAAAATCATATATAGCATATCACATAAAGATAAACAGTAAACATAGTTCTCCCAAAGGCCCAAATAGCTCTCTTTGAGTTTTGAGTCAAAAAATTCAACCTGAAATCAAGTGATGGAAACATCAACTGATTGTGATGTGCAATAGGCATGATTCTATTAAAGTTGCGTTTGGATCCCATTGACTAACCAAATTGACTAAAAATTGAGTGACTAAATTTTTAGTCACCCATGTTTGGTTCATATGACTAAAAATGGCTAAAGTGCATTAAATGAGATGCAAAAAGACTAAAATACCCCTAGTTCACATATAGTACTCCAAATATTGTTCATGTAATACATAAAATTTATTCATTAGGAATACATCTCAAACTACGATCTAGCAAATAAACCATCGGCTATCCAATCCCGAAAGTGATTCATATCTTGATCTTCGTCCCCATAACGAGTACTAGTTCCATTTCCTTGATAAGTATGTGCACCTTCTTCGACAAGTGGAACGTAGTTCTCATCTTCATCACACATATCAAAGTCGGCATCTGGCATAGCACTGTCTCTAATAAAATTATGAAGCGCCATACATGCGATAATAATCTTGCTTTGCTTGTACATCGGATAACTTGGTACATATTTTAAAATCCTCCACTTGTTCTTTAACACTGCGAAAGACCGCTCGATGATATTACGAAGTGAAGAATGTGCGTAATTGAATACCTCTTTTTTTCCTCTTGGCATTGGCCCCTGTTGATACTCCGGAAGATGATACTTTGTACCCCTGTACGGTGCAAGATAACCCGGGCGGTTTGGGTACCCCGAGTCCACGAGATAAAACTTCCCTACATAACAAAATTTTCAAACGATCAGTTCCACAAAAAAAAAAAAAAAAAAAAAAAAAAAAAACAATTCCAATTATAGGTACAATAAAATCAAGGAACATATAAGTACCTGGCGGTGGATGCGGGAACTTGTCACCGTACTTGTCAATTGCATCCTTGAAAACCCTCATACCATGAACCGAGTCAGGCCATCCCGCAACGACAAATGTAAACCTCATATTGAAGTCACATATGGCCAACACGTTCTGAGTGGTGTAGCCCTTTCTTCCCGTATGTTGTACGACCTGATTAGTTGGCACCTCAACACGTATATGTGTCCCATCTAGTGCTCCTATGCAGTTGTCGAAGTATGGAGAAAACCGGGCAGATTGCAATCTCGAATGCACTGTCCTAAATTCAGGGTCTACTGGCCTAATGATATTAGCTGCAAGTTTGTTAACACAACGCAATACTTTATCGAACTTCCCGCTGCATGTTTCTTTGGACCTATAAAATCGATCCTCAGCCTGCCTCATACTCTGCGGACAACCACACATCCACAAAAAAAGACCTAATGCCTCCACAGATGACATCTTTTTTGTAGAAGTCAACCCATATGACTCAACAAGCACAGTATGCAGCAGGTCAAACACATTCCTATGCATCCTAAAATTTTGGTAGCAATATGTCTTACTTCCTAGGCTCCTCATAACCCAGTTGTACCCAGATTCAGTGGGCACCCTATAATTTGATTTGTTCTAATATTTTTCATAGTGGTACATACCCATAACAGCAGCAGCTGCACCTATGTGCATCCTTCTCTTGCGTCATTGAGTCACATATTGTTGAATCCATTGAACCTCTTCCCAATCATCTTCCTGTGTACACAAAAAATATTTGAACCAACAGCAACAGAAAATGAAATGAAAATATTTGTCACAAACTTAAATAACTCACAACATCAAACAATTATATATCTCACAACATCACGTAGTCAAATAGTTCACAGCACCACAAACACATGATAGTAAAAGGTTCAGAACATATAAATTGTTGAAACAACAACAAACACATGATACTAAACGGTTCACATATACATCTAAATGATTCCAGCACTCCAGTCACGGCTGCATTTCTTCAACCAGGCCATCCTTCCTGCATTTGTCGTCAACTTGAGAAATACCGTTCGGTGGTATTTCTTTGCAAACAACATAGTAGCAACATAGAACTCCTCTGTCTCCTCAGTTGCTCCACATTCTTTCACTAGCTCCATACATCTCTCTATTTCCTCCTCCACTTGTTGCTCCTCCAATTGTTTCGCTTCTAATTTTCTCTTGGTAATGTGGTCTTGTATTTGTTTCGCGACATCAACATCTGTGTTATTAGCAGCTTGTATGGTGTCTATCAACCCTTTCATGCACTTGACCATTGCACTCTTATGTTTCTTGACTAGACTTGTGGCTGTATCAGTGGTGCTGCTCTTCCTCTTTCTACTATTGCTACTTGATGGGCTCCTAAGGGTCCCATCATCATCATCATCATCATCATCACTTTCCCCAGGGATACAAGAAGACCTCCCATCAACTGTAGTACCATGGAACATCTCAGCAAGTTGGTCAAGGTAAGTAGGCATGAACCGTTTGAACTTCTTGCA